TTTTTAACCATCATTTATACTTATCTAAGAAAAGGTTAAAACAAACTAAATGAAAAGACTTAATAATTTGTCAAATTGTTGGAAATTAAAGTGACTACACCTATAACTACCACAAGATTGAACATGTGTTTTTAAAGTCAGTAAAATATTAGTGTTTCCTTTGGTATAATAGCAGGAGTGTTTGGATCATTTCACTAGTAGACAAATCATTTCAACAACAGTATCTATCCACATTTGTAGATTATGAATCTAAAACTGAATGTTTTATTTATTTTCGGTGTTTTACTTAATTTTGTTATTGTTATTGTGTCTCCTAATTCACAATGAGTTCTCTACGTCGATACGAGCTTTACCTGAGAGTGACAAGTCGACGTCACTTCCGCTGCTGCGCATCACGCTCAGGTGTGCTCCTCAGGTGCGCCAAAGTTTAATATCGACCCTGGACCACTCGAGCGGATGACGGGTGTCCGAGTTTGGATGAAAATACTGCGAAAAGAAGCATTGGTTGAACTCAGAATGCAGGGTTTTCTTCTTGTTTCTTTGTACAGGTGTGTGCAGGTGTTTCCTCGCTCTGTGCTGCAGCTCAGAGGTAAAATGATTTTCTAAACATTACTGTTCACAGAGCTCAGAGATTAAATGTTCATCTTACTCAAGTAATATGAATAGACTTCATTTATTTAATTTAAAAGTAAAAGCTCTTCATCCAGCCTTCTGTGTTTAATTTACTCAAAGAAACAGCAGTCTGATTCATTTATTATTGAAGTGCAGTAACCAACAACTAACCACCAGAGGGCGCCCTCTCCATATAAAGTGATTTATAGACGATATAATGCATTTATTTTCAACCTATAACTTTTAATTAGAGTCTTACATCATTGTTTGATAAATTATTTATGTTAAAGCTGCATTTTTACCTTAAACCTTTTCTTCTTAGGTTTATTTTTACTTTTCAAACTTACTTTTTAATCAATTTAATTCGTTTATTGTCGTTTGGTTTTGGTTGTTCTTGTGACAGTTCATTTTGTAAGTCAATAAAGTAATTGGATATTTAAGATTACATCATTGTATGGTAAATTATTTATATTAAAGCTGCATTTTTACCTTTTAGTTAATTAAATTAGTTTTTAGTTTTTCTTAATGAAAATACCACAAACCTTTTTCTTGATTTAATTGAAATGATCAATTTGATTAAATCTGCTTATTTGTACAAACAGCTGTATGACAAGAATAGACTAAAGTCAAAGACAAGACACAACATTAGAAGCACAGTTTGGAGACAACCTGCTTAAAGATTCAAATTAAATACAAATACTTTAATTTTTTCAATTCTTTTTATTATTATTACTTTTTGTCCTTTTCTTGTAATAATTCACAGGATGATGAGATCAACCAACACAGTCAGTGTGTGTGTGTGTGTGTGTGTGTGTGTGTGTGTGTGTGTGTGTGTGTGTGTGTGTGTCTCTGAGCTGAACGGTCTGCAGAGAAAGAGAGCTACCGAGGTCCTCAACCTGCTGCTACGAGACCTCAGTGACATCGGCGCCATCATCGGCACCAGTGATGTCAACACAGCTGTGAGAACGGACACACACACACACACACACACACACACACATCTTTCACAGTCTCAACATCTGTAACCTCCCCCTCATCCTCAGTCCTCAGAGTCAAAGGGGAACGGCTCAGCGGTGGAGGAGGAGTTCACATCAGCAAGTTCAAGTCTGAGGTCAAGTCTCTGGTGAACCGCAGCAAACAGCTGGAGAGCACGCAGGCCGACGCCCACACAAACATTCAGGCCAATGACAAGGAGACATGATGGAGACGAGGACATCAAGGTGAGGACACAAACACACTTTGTATTGTCTGTACTATATTATATTCTACGTTTAAACTTTGAATTTAAGTTTGCTTCATCCAAAACCCTTTAAGTGAAGTTAAACACAGATCATTTACAATGAATGATAAAACCCAGGTTTATTCCAATCATCACAATGTTGTATAATCACAAACATTTTCTGAGTTTTATTAACTTGATGAACTAAAATTAGTTTTTCTTCTCCAACAGGAACTCTGTTGATGTCTTCCAGGAGGATCCCCCGTCGGTGGCCGTCTTCCTGCTCAGGTAGGAGACTCAAAGCTTTCTTGATGTTGTTTTGTTATGTTCCAGGTTTTAGGTCTTATAGATGTTTAGACTCAGTTATTTGAATCAGCTACGAAGAAGTCGATTTAGAGTGGAGGAACATCAACCTGGAACATAAAACAACATTAAGAAAGCTTTTGAGCTCCTACCCAATGAAGCTGGAGGATAGTGGGGGGGGGGGACTGGCTGGATGTAACCCCCTCACCTGTGACACCTTATTGTATTGTGCTGATGTAACATGTACAAAACACAGAGGTCATGATGTCTGTTCAATATTTTATTGTAATAAAACTACTGCTGTGTCCATTTTGGAACATTTTTTTAGAGCGCTACTCAAACGTTTAGCTGCGTTGCTCGATCCTTACAAGTTATACCTCGTTGTAAAGGTGACTCATCAGGCTTTCCAACGATATAAAATACAACACCAATTAGTTTTATTAAAGGGGCCAAATAATTGAAAAAATAATGTTTCCAAACTTTTTGAGGAGTTTATTTCCAACAGTTATCAAAGCCACAGAAATCCTTCAGAATCAGCTTTATTGTCCAGGTATGCTTAAACACAAGTTTACTTTTGTAAACTGTGCTGTCTTTGTACAAAGGTATAATATTAAATATCAACAATAAACAAATATGTACAAGGATAAATAGGATAATACTGTAAACATGAGGTAGTTTTTACATTAAAAAGTGTTTGTATATGATCATTTAAATATATGTATATTCTCCTAAGAGAATTGTAACATCATAACATCCTTCATTTTAGAGTTGTTACAGGACGTGACAAAGGAAGGGTATCACACATGAAACAAGGTTTAAAAGGAAGTGAATTTATTATCAAATAATGATAATTATGTAAATCAGTCATGAATACAATGTATGGATGAGTGTAGTGTTGGAAAGTGTGAACAAAAGTAAAGCAGTTGGTGGAGGCCTGGGAGAAAGAGAGGGGAGACAAGTTAGACTGGAAGCCACTTAGAAGCAGAGTCCTGATGGACTCAGGTGTACCCAGTTGGACTAATGGCCTTCCTGACTCCGCCTACTTTCTGCCAAGTCAGGAAGCCAAACAAATGCAGGACGTCACCCCCCAATAAATCATTTATTTAACAAATATTTTAAAAAAAATCTTAGACTTGAACAAAACAACACACAGATCCAGCAGGAGAAACAAAGTCTGCATCTGTCTCTGTGGCTCAGGAGATAGAAGGAGGACTTGGAGTCTGGAGGTTGTGGGTTTGAATCTTATCAGGACTCAGTGAATTTTAAAGGTGTCGGTCCTAAAAGACACACACACACACACACACACACACACACACACACACACACACACCATTCTCTTAAAGGTGTTGGTCCAAAGGAAAGACTGAAGAGATCTGAGAAACATAATCAGGTATCTGTCTGTGTGGCTCAGGAGATAGAAGGAGGACTTGGACTCTGGAGGTTGTGGGTTCAAATCTTATCAGGACTGAGTGAATTTTAAAGTCCAACATCTGAAATGATGAAGATAAATACGCCCGGAGCTCATATCATAGTGTGAAGGGATCAGTAGTGTAGTGGATAAGATTGTGGTTTCTAAGCTCTGTAGGTGGGGAGCCTGGGTTTGAATCCCACTGTGTCTGGTGATGGAGGGTTTGAATCTTATCAGGCAAATTTTAAAGTCAAAATCCAAAATGACCATGATAAATACGCCCGGAACACATCTCCAAGTGTGAAGGGGCCGGTGGCTGAGTGGGATCGTCCTTGCATCTGCAACGGGTACGTGCTGGTTCAATTCCGTCTTCCACGCCATCTGGGCCTGGAACCGCTAGGGGGGCAAAGTTCCCCCTGGTGTTTCCTGAGTAACATCAGTAGGGGGTTATGAAAAAAGAAATCAAGTGTGGCTGAAGTTTTTTTCAGACACTTTTTTGAAGAATGTTGATGAAAGTTAGTTGAGAGTGTTGGCTTGCTTACTGTAACTGCCTTTCTTATAACCATACTGTAACTAGCTTACTCATAACCATTCTAATGACTTCATTAATTAAACTAGAGACACTGTATACATGATGTGATAACAGCAAGAAAGAATTGATGTGGACATTTCACAAATTAGGTTGAGGGTTCTTTAATCAGCAGCATTGGGAACCACTGGGGGGGGGCAAAGTTCCCCCTGGTGTTTGGAGAGTAACACAAGTAGGGGTTTATGGAGAAAATGAAGTGTGTGTGAAGTTTTTTAACATGTCAGAGCCTTTTATTTAAAAGTGTTGTATGAAAGTTAAGAATAGAATAGAATGACTTTATTGATCCCAAACTGGTAAATTGTGGCATTACAGCAGCAGGTTATCTAACACACAATATGAGTAAAAAACACAATGTTAGCAAATCTAAACACAATATAATATTAAATACAAAGTAAATAAGTAGTAAAAATATCAAAACTAAGAATGAGAATATATACAACCAGGATTAACTTAGCATTACTAGTCTTAAATAGAAAGATTAAATGTAAATGTACAAAAACAGAATAGTAAATGGACAATGTTCAATATGTAAAATAAAGTAAATAGTAATAAAGTAAAATATGGAGCATCAGTGAAGTGAGTGGAGACAGTTTTTATATGATATGTTAAGACCAAGAACACAACTCTCCTCTCTGTAGGTCATTGAGGGAACAGGAAGTTATAAAGGAAACAGGAAGTTATAAAGGAAACAGGAAGTTGTTTTCTTTAATCTTCAAGGCTGCCCACAGCAGGCAGCAGCAATGTAAGTTCCTTTACTGAAGTTAAGGTTTAGCATTAGCATGTAGCTTAGCATTGTTATAATTTGTTATGTATTGCATCTGATGTGCATACCATGTGGCTTAGCATGTATGTTAGCATTAGCATGTAGCTTAGCATTAGCAACAACTTGTATTAGTTTATTGTTGTGTCTTGTAGTTTTCAGTCCTTATTCAATGTGGTGAATATGTGGCAGACCATCTCTTTGCTCCCTTCAGGTGCAGCTCCTGCAATTGAAAGACAATGTTTCGATTTAGTTTGGACCAACAAAGACAATCCTCATAGCAAAGCATGCACAGGTGAGTATGTAGAAATGAGGTGCACAGGTGTGGGATCATCTATCTGTAGAGAGAGAGAGAATGTTAAAAATGTTTGATTTGCATTTAAATTGGGGAATTCATTAAAAATAAAAACTGTTAAAAAATAAAATATTTTATAATATTTAAAAATATATTAGAAATGATTAATATTAGAAATATTTATTAATAAATAAAATAAGAAGTTTGTTCAAGCTGTTTCAATCGTCTTCTTTCTGTTTAAAGCCTTGTGTTAAGAAATAAAAACATGTGTTACCACTGTGTGTGTATATATGTGTGTATGTATATATATGTGTGTGTGTATTATTAAACTCTGCTAATCCAACATCACCAAACAGACAAAGTTACTGTGACACTGAAGATGCAGAGGATTAAAATACCTCATTCAGTACAGCTGCAGATAGATGACAGATACTGTAGCTACATGCCAATGCTAAGCTACATGTTAATGCTAAACCACATGTTAATGCTAAACCACAGGGTGTGCTACATCAGATGCAATGCATAACAAGGCTAATGCTAAGCTACATGCTAATGCTAAGCCACATGTTAATGCTAAACCACATGGTGTGCTACATCAGATGCAATAAATAACAATGCTAATGCTAAGCTACATGCTGATGCTAAACCTTAACTTCAGTAAAGGAACTTGCATTGCTGTCTGCTGTGGGCAGATTAAAGAAAGAACCCTCCACTTCCTGTTTCCTTTATAACTTCCTGTTGCTAAGTCCAGAGCACTTCCTGTTGCACTCCAGAGCACTTCCTGTTGATAAATCCAGAGCTACAGATATAAGAAAACCGACGAGAGAAACAGACAGGTGATCATTCAAACAAATGCTTTGATTACATGTGGTTGTGTTGAATGGATGTTTGTAGGAACCTCAGCATCGTTAACAAAAACAGGCGGAGAAATACAGTTATTTTTTAAAATAAGGGCCAATCAGAAGTCTTGGAACACCCTCATGTGCTCCCTGAGACTCCTTGAAGGTCTCGGGACTAGAAGGAAAAAACAAGAAATAACTTAACTCCATTTCTAGTTTGATTTAGTTACGACCACAACCTTCCGGTGTTACGGTCCAAGTGAGTAAAACGTCCCCTGCACACAAAGATATTTGTGGTCTTGGTCTTAGTGTGGTCATGACTACAACACTACGTGCAGCACCCTCTGCATGCAGAGTTCAGACTTCTGCAGACTGTTGGGTTTTTAAATGACATGACACTTGGATCCGGGGGCCTTGTTGTTGTTATGCTGTTATGTTGGTTATGTATTTTATGTGCCATTGCACGTTAGTTTGGAATACCCCAGGGTTTGGTTTTCCCTCTGATCATTCAGCAGTCTGGACAGAAAATGTGGTGTGATGTGTTAGCTGGTACATACATGAGCTTCTGTCATGAGTCTCTCCTGCTCCAGTAACAGGCCCTGGTTGAAACAAAAAGGAGCTGGTCCATCATCCTCTGCTTGTCTTGGATCTGGTCTCTGAGGCGGCTGAGCTGCTTGTGGTGGTTCTCCAGCTGCTCCTCCAGAGTTTTGTGGAGATGTATAAACAGATTAGAGACAATACAAAGTGTGTTTGTGTCCTCACCTTGATGTCCTCGTCTCCATCATGTCTCTCTCTCTCCTCCACCTCTTGGCTCTTCTGGTCGTAGTTGATGGCGAGCTCCTCCAGCGCCTGCAGCACCTCCTTCACCTCCTCCTTCAGCTGGTTCTCCGTTTGCAGCCGGCACAGCTCCTCCTGGGAGGGACGTGGGGTCAGAGTGAGTTCATGCAAAAATGATCATCCTTATGAAATCCATGTTTAAATAAGAAAATGACATTAAGTAATAATAATTGAGAAAATGAAAGTATTTTAAGCAGGTTGTCTCCAAACTGTGCTTCTAATGTTGTGTCTTGTCTTTGACTTTAGTCTATTCTGTTTGTACAGGTAATAATATTACCTGTATTACAGGTTGCTGATGTCCTCCTCGTATTTGCTCCGCTCGTTGCAACAATATTATTTGACTTTTCTTTCACAAAGGTAAGAAGTATTTTCAGTTGAAAAAAACAGTTAATTTAAAATGAGTAATGTATCATAATGGCTCATTTACTTTTCACGTATTGTTCAATCCTAGCTGTAAATTAGATGCACACGTTTGAGTGCTCCTAAAGTAAAAGTCTGTGATAGTCCTTTTTAACTTGTAAATGTTTCCTTTTAATTTATGTTTAATCTAAACTAGCTCAATGAGCTGTAAGAAAAAAATAATTAAATTAAATAAAAATAAATTCAAACAAATTAATCATTTCAATTAAATCAATAAAAAGGTTTGTGGTATTTTCATTAAGAAAACCAAACGACAATAAACGAATTAAATTGATTAAAAAGTAAGTTTGAAAAGTAAAATTAAACCTAAGAAGAAAAGGTTTAAAGTAAAAATGCAGCTTTGATATAAATAATTTATCAAACAATGATGTAAGACTCTAATTAAAAGTTATAGGTTGAAAATAAATGTATTATATCGTTTATAAATCACTTTATATGGAGAGGGCGCCCTCTGGTGGTTAGTTGTTGGTTACTGCACTTAAATAATAAATGAATTAGACTGCTGTTTCTTTGAGTAAATTAAACACAGAAGGCTGGATGAAGAACTTGTTGTCTTAGTTTACCTGTTGTTTTATTTACCTTTTAGCTGTTGTTTTATTTACCTTTTAGCTGTTGTTTTATTTCCCTTTTAGCTTTTGTTTACCTTTTAGCTGTTGTTTAGTTTTATTTCCCTTTTAGCTGTTGTTTTATTTACCTTTTAGCTGTTGCTTTATTTCCCTTTTAGCTTTTGTTTACCTTTCAGCTGTTGCTTTATTTACCTTTTAGCTGTTGTTTAGTTTTATTTCCCTTTTAGCTGTTGTTTAGTTTTGTTTACCTTTTAGCTGCTGTCTTGTAGCTTTTCTGTGCAGTTTTCTTTCAGTCGTAGTTTGTCTTCTTAGTTTGTTGTTTTTATCTTTCAGTCTGTAGTTTTGTTTAGTTCTAGATTTAGTTTAACGTTGTATTGTCCGTTTTCTTTGATTTGTGTGTTGGATGAAACTTACTTAACTTACTTAATATAATGTACTTCATATAATTTAAAAGGACATACTAACCTAAATTCATTAATCGTCCATTGTTACCACCATGACATAAGATTTGATTTATTATATATACATATGGTCAATCATATATTAGGATAATATGGTTCAAAGTTAAATATGGATCATCAGTGACGTCACTAGAGACACTGTTTACATGATATGTGAACACCAAGAAAGAAACTATCTGTCTGCCTCTCCTCTCTCTGTATCTAGGTCATTGCTGAGTTACTGGACGCCTGCAGGTTAGCGTCTGAAGTGTACCTGTAGGTCTGCCTTCATGAGCGAGGCTCCTGCTTCAACCAGATAATGACAGATAGTTCTTTGACACAGGGACGCAGCTCGGTGAAGGACCGTCTCCCCCCTGGTCAACAGAAGAGAGAGAGAGAGAGACAACATCACCCGAGGAACAGACATCAACCCCCCTGCTGCTTCTTTTGGTGTCTTGTGTTTATGATGGCACATATATCATCACATATAGACTGAACAGAGATCAGAGCACAGATACAGGAACAGCATCATCATCTACACTCTGTTAACATTTAAATAAAGTGTTTAACATTTTAAAAACCTCATGGTTTCAGTTCAATGTTCGATGTTTTCAAGCACAAATAGAATCTGTACTTACTGCAGTTTTTCTGTAAGGACTAAAAACTACTTAAAGGCAGGGTTGGTGATCTTCTCCAGATCCACTTTTTAAGATTGTGGTTGAAATTGTCTTTTGGTCCTGACAATGCAAGCAATGAGCTGAGGTCCACTTCTGGGGTGGGTGCAGACGCAGCACTGAGGGAATGCTACTTTTAGAAAATGATCAACCCTGCCTTTAACCCAGACAAGACTCTCTCTTACCTGCTGTTTGTAAAGTGTCTTGAGATAACATTTGTATTGAGTTGGCGCTCTATAAAATAAAGATTGATTGAACTGACTTATTGTTTTACAAGCCTGTCATTGAAAGTTTCCCATTTATTCAAACACTAGAATACAGAAAGAAAGGAAAAAACATCATATTCCTATGTTGAAAAGAACCCACATACATTCATTAATCGTAAAAAACAACAACAATTAAGGATTCTTTTAATGAGCTACGCATGGTGCAATGGCACCCCCTGTTGGCCTGTCAGAGACTGCTACAGGAAGTGACTGATCAAGCCCTGCCTATAAAGGAAGCAGGAAGTGGAGGGTTCCTTCTTTAATCTTCAAGGCTGCACAGAGCAGGCAGCAACAGAAATGTAAGCTCCTTCACTTTACTGAAGTTAACAACTAAGCTTTCTTTTGTCTTGTATAAGTTTATTGTTTGAATTTAGAACTTTGGTAATGACTGTGGTGTGTTGTTGTGTGTTGTAGTTTTCACTCCTTATTCAATGTGGTGAATAAGTCAAAAGAGTAACTAACATCCTGACTCACTCCATACGTGCACCATACATGTGGAGGACTGCACACACCTGTGGAGGATGTAGAGGACCATCTCTTTGCTTCCTGCACTGGCAGCGTGATGACGTCAACTGCAGCCGGACGAGTCGAGTGAGGTGAGGTGCAGCTCCCTTCAGGTGGGGCTCCCTTCAGGTGAGGCTCCCTTCAGGTGAGGCTCCCTTCAGGTGAGGCTCCCTTCAGGTGGGGCTCCCTTCAGGTGGGGCTCCCTTCAGGTGGGGCTCCCTTCAGGTGGGGCTCCCTTCAGGTGGGGCTCCCTTCAGGTGGGGCTCCCTTCAGGTGGGGCTCCCTTCAGGTGCGGCTCCTGCAGCTGATGATTCAATTCAAAGACACGTGTGAGTATGTAGGAATGAGGTGCAAAGGTCTGCAGTGAGAGATGAAACTGTCACTCACCTTCTTTAAGTCTTTGTTCTTCACACACTCAACCAGCAGCTCTACACACAGAGAGAGAGAGAGAGAATGTTAAAAACCACAGATAATTAAAGTTATTATCAGTGCTCTGTATGACGAGGTTGAAGGTCTTGGTCCTCAAAAGGATTTGATTGACTTCTCCTTTTGGGCGACAGATTTATCGGCTAACAATAAACATGTAAACTACTATAACTAATTAAAACACAGCTGGCAGATAACCAACGACATTAAGGACTAATGCAGTGCAGCTGAACCTGATCACAGATGTTCTCTCTCCCCCTCCCCCCCAGGTACTGAAGTCAATGTGACGCAGAATGGACACAGCAGTAGTTACTTTCCAAAAAAATAATTGTGATGTGTTTCTTTTTTTAACACTTTTAGGGGCAGCCTGACCAAAACAAGATGAAGTGCTGTTAGCATGTCTGCTACACCACGCTGCCTCACTTCCTTCAACATTTGGTGAGTATTTTTCTTGGCTCTTTTATTTTAACTGTTTGAGTCACATATAGTCATATTCTTTATATATCATATTCAAAATTGACATGATGCTACAAACTTTTAAATTTTAATCTTAACACTCTCTTTTATGTAGATGTAGAGATTATTTTGACTTGCATTAATAATTTTTAATCACTTAATTATCAGAATGGCCCATTTCAGTTTTCATGTTTTGTACAATCCTAGCTGTAAATTACTCATGGATGCAACCTGACATGAACTTTAAACCCTGATGTCTTTGTTTCTTGTGTCTGATATTCCAGGTGTTTCCTCGCTCTGAACTCCGAAGGAGTTTCTTCGGATTAAAGTTTACCTGTTCCTGTTGGACCTTGTGTTTTTTTTGTCTTGTCAGCATCTTCAATTCCTAATAGATGTTTTGTAGTAGTTTCCTTTGTCACACAGTTGTGAACTTGAAGTGTTAGATTTGTTATCTTGTATAAAACAAATTTTCCATTAGGAAACATGTTTATTTGTAGATAATTAAAGACTACTAGAAACAAGTTTCCTCAGGAATAATGAAAGTGGTAAACTACTATAAATAAAACACAGCTGGCAGATGACCAGAGCACAGATGTAACACAAGTCACTGATGCAGAATGGATACAGCAGTAGTTTTATTACAATATTGAACAGACATGACCTGTGTTTTTCTACATGTTACATCAGCACAAGAAGGTGTCACAGCATCCCCATTGGATAGGAGACTCAAAGGGTTCTTAATGTTTAATTATGTTCCAGGTTTAGGTCGTATAAAAGTTTAGACTCAATTATTTTAATCATTTGATCCTTTTTGGAGGAACATCAGGTGTTTAATGAAATAAGGATTATAAAAATGTAGTATTTCATTAAACACCTGATGTTCCTCCAATATAAAAAGGATCAAGTCAAATGATTAAAATAACTGAGTCTAAACATCTATAAGACCTAAAACCTGGAACATAATAAAACAACATTAAGAAAGCTTTGAGTCTCCTACCTGAGCAGGAAGACGGCCACCGACGGGGATCCTCCTGGAAGACGTCAACAGAGTTCCTGTTGGAGAAGAAAAACTAATTTTAGTTCATCAAGTTAATAAAACTCAGAAAATGTTTGTGATTATACAACATTGTGATGATTGGAATAAACCTGGGTTTATCATTCACTGTAAATGATCTGTGTTTAACTTCACTTTAAGGTTTTGGATGAAGCAAACTTTAAATGTAGAATATAATAAAGAAACATTGAGTATAAGGTCTTAAGAAACATCTTTACCATACATTAACTGTCACAAGAACACAAACTCTAATTAAAGTTATAGGTTGAAAATAAATGCATTTTATAGTTTATAAATCACTTTATATGGAGAGGGCGCCCTCTGGTGGTTATTTGTTGGTTACTGCACTTAAATAATAAATGAATCAGACTGCTGTTTCTTTGAGTTTGAATTAAACACAGAAAGCTTTTACTTTTAAATTAAATAAATGAAGTCTATTCATATTACTTGGGCAAGCTGAACATTTAATTTCTGAGCTCTGTGAACAGTAATGTTTAGAAAATCATTTTACCTCTGATTAATTAATTTACATATTAGTTTATTAACTTTGGCTTTACTTTAACCCGGTGTTGTGAAGTTAAACAATTAGTTGGAAAATAACTGAGGTGATTTCTTTGAATGCTTTTAAATCCAGGCTGAGAGCACTTGAGACGACCTCCTTAACTTGTAATTGTTTTTTATCATTTTAATTGATAACTGTTTTTTATAAGTTTAATTGGAGAAAACAAGTTGAAAAGACAAAGAAAACGTCGCGTTACCTTCATAATATTGATAAACGTTATCATCATCTTACTCTGACGTTTTATCCGCTTAACAAACATTTGTAATGACGTCAGCATGAGCATTAGCCCAGGTGTTAGCAGCCCCAGGTATTTCTATTTCGTGGCTTTTCACACAAAACTGGACTTTTAATTACTCACTGAGTATCTAGACTTCATGTTTCCTTCCCCGGCTCCTTCTTCTTCCAACATGCTGCCCGCGGTCCGCACCGCTTACCTGCTCGAAACAATGATATACACACCTGAGAACACCTGAACACACCTGGGCGTGATTACCGGAAGCTTCAACCGGAAGTGTCGCAGAAAGTTTCTATCGGAGAAATGAAAAAGTTATAAATAAGAGGACACAAAAACAAGACTAAGTCAAAAATCAAATGTTTTAATGATAAAAAATATTTCTTAATGTAATTTACTTGTTTTTCTGTTTTTTTTTAACTTTGAACTCTTGGTAACCAAGCAACATGAGAAAGTCAAACTCGGGTCACCATGGTAACTACCGGTAACTGCATTCGTTAGCAGGACGAAGCTAACCTGTTTTCCGGTCTTTAGGACACTGACTGAATTCTTACCCACAGATAAATTCAGTGTTCATGATGTTTACCTCCAGTTTCTCTCTTCCTCTCCCTGTCGTTCTCCAAAGTGTCCAAGAAGCAGATAAATTAGTTAGTTTGAGATACTAATGTGTAAAGATGGAGTTTAAAGGTGAAACTGCGCCCTCCTGTGGTCACTGTCAATTACTGCATTTGTTTTTTTCACCTTTCTTGTTCTAGATACAAATTCAAACTGCTTTCTTTGTTTTATTTCTTTATAAATAAATGTGACTTGACTGAATCACAGATAACATATTTTCTTAATTATAAAAAGCAACTGTTTACTGCTTATGTTAATTAAAATCCATTGTCTGTTAATCACACGTGCATGTTAGTCTCTCAAAGAATCTGAAGTGCAACTTCACTGATTGCATATTCTTGTGTACGTTGGAGCGTTTCACTCCTGAGGAAGAAAGCAGATTGTGTTCCCATGACATATTAGGCAATATATTTTTCTTATTTTCTTATTAGTGGTAGATAAATAAAGACTACAATAAACAAGTTTCCTCAAAATCAAAGAAAACAGACAATGAAAGCTGTAAACTACTATAACTAAATAAAACACAGCTGGCAGATAAGGGTTTTTGCTTTGAATCCACGTCTTTTTAAGCCTTTTCTGCCTCGTAATTATCGTGCAAAAATCTAAATTCTTTGACTTCCAAGTAGAGTGAATGTAATCACTGAAATGTGTCTAGAAGGTGACTGGTTACTGCACTGACCTGTATCTAACTTAAAAGTAGTGAGGGTCTTTACCACACCTCTAAGAGCAGATAAAATGATCATCAGAGTTCAACCACTGATGAAACAAAGACACTGAAAGAGAGTACAGAAAGAAGACTTGGATGAAATGAAGAAACTTCTCAGTTGACAGTTTTGGTCTCACTCCAAGTCTTCACTCAGAAAGAAGAAAATAATTGATTTGCTTTCTTCAGAAGAAAAAAAAAGAAAAGAGAGTGTTGCTTACAATCAGAGGACAGGTTATTTTGTCTTAGTCTGTCTTAGACAGACCCCTTTAAAAGACAGACTAAAGGGGTTTCACACTTGCAGAAAACTCCTTAAAAACTCCTGACATCTCAGAAAAGTGTCTTGACACTGAAGAAAGACGGCAGCACTCACCCGTCATTCCAAAGGGAAAGCAGGTGTCTTTTAATCACATCCAGGATTCCTTCGATCCACAACCAGAAGGAATACGCTTTCTCGTTCGCACTCTGCTCACAGACAAATACATTTAGTTCAAAGAGAAGATGTAGTTTTAACTTTATGATGCACCAAAAAGACTCCATTAGTATCTGCTAACCTGTACATGTTTCTCTTATTGCAGCTTTTGGTTAAATTACAGATTTGAATACAGATTTTATTCATTTTTAACTTGTGGTATCGAAAAGTATCACAGATGTTGACGATCTTAAATCTCAGGCTGAATGGGGCTCACCTTGCACAACTTGGTCCAGGGGATTTGTCCCTCTGGGTTCCTCTTGGCTTTGGCTCCTGAAGATAAAAATAAATAAAAGTTAAAGGCCTGTTTGAAAGTCCTGCAGGTGTTTATCTGTTAAAGAAAAGTATTTCTACCGAGCAGTTTGTCAGCCAGCATGTTGAGCTGCTCCTGGTTCAGGCCTCGCTTGGTGACGGAGGAGAACTGCCAGCTGAGGACCTCGGACAGCTGAGACCACTTGGCCTGCGGAGGGCTGAGGAAGAACTTCAGATTCTGAGAGGAGAGGAAAGAAGAAGAGATGGAAACACAAAAAGTCAAACCATCTGGTTTAAAAGTACAGTTAAAGATACTCTGTTACGAATAGAAGACCTTTATTCAAAACCTTACTTCATATAAAAAGCACAGGCATCAAAATATACTGAAAATGCAAACCGTAAAACAGCTATACACGCGTCAACATTTAGATTGTATTAATGGTCTGTTTATGAATTTAAGGTGGCAGCTGTGAAAGTTGTTTAAATCATTAAGATATCACCTAATTGTATCTTTGATATTTGTGATAAGTAAACATCTGTAATCATCAATGAGAGTCCTGGTTGTGTACCCTGGGCTCGGAGGTCAGCATGTTGTACCAGAGGATGGAGGCCCAGCCGCTGGGCAGCTGACAGACGTTAGAGATGACAACAACAGGCAGGGACATGGCCTACAACAACAAAAACAGCAACAAACATCAGGAAATAATCATACACATCTTACACGTGTAATAACCTGTACACCTCGGACTTCTGCTACAACTCTGGGAGCTGCCACTTGCAGAAGTTCTCCGATGACACAGCCATCGTGGGTGTGTCTAAGGGAGCGAACAGGAGTACAGGCAGGTCATCATGGACTTTGTCAACTGGAGTGAGCTCAACCACCTTCAGCTCAACGCCAGCAAGACAAAGGAGATGGTGATTGACTTCCACAGGAAGTCACCCCAGACTGCACCGGTGAACATCCAGGGCTTGGACATCGAGAGGGTGGAGACGTACAAATACCTGGGTGTTCACCTCAACAACAAACTGGACTGGTCACACAACACACACATCCTGTACAAGAAGGGCCAAAGTTGACTTCACCTGCTGAGGCGACTGAGGTCCTTTGGAGTGTGCAGGACTCTGTTAAGAACTTTTTATGACACTGTGGTGGGCGTCTGCACTTTTCTATGCAGTGGTCTGCTGGGGAGGAGGGAGCACAGAGAGAGACAGGAAGAGACTGAACAGACTGGTGAGGAGGGCCAGTTCTGTCTTGGACTGTCCTCTGGACTCTGTAGAGGAGGTGGGTGAGAGGAGGATGTTAGTGAAGCTGACATCCATCATGGACAACCCCTCTCACCCTCTACATGACACTGTGGGGGCCCTGAGCAGCTCCTTCAGCAGCAGACTCAGACACCCACCCTGCAAGACAGAGCACTACCGCAAGTCGTTCATCCCATCTGCCGTCAGACTGTTTAATCAGACTCTTTAACAACATCACCACCTCATGCTACACACTGTGTGTGTTTTTAGTTAATAACAAGTTACTGTGTAATTTTACATTTACATTATTGTATTTTTTTACATTATTGTATTTTTTATTTTTATTTAAATGATGTAAATTTATTTGATCTGTTTTTTAACTTCTATTTTTTTTTTATAAGTATATTCCTCGTCCCCTGTTTTCTGGAGCTGCTGTAATGCAAAATTTCCCCCACAGGGGATCAATGAAGTTTATTTTTATCTTTATCTTTAATTAAACAAACTCATAAACTCCATAGTTTGACTGTAGTTACTAATCATGTCCACTAGACGGCAGCCAAACTCTGCTGTTTCATTTAACATCCAATCTTTCCCCACTTCCGTTCCACAGCTTAGTAGCAC